TGTGTGTGTGTGTGTGTGTGTGTGTGTGTGTGTGTGTGTGTGTGTGTGTATACATCTGTGAGGCTGGGCAGAGGTCAACATTAACAATCTCCCTTTATCACTTTTCAATCGTTTTGTTTTGGTTTGGTTCAGGATGAAGTCTTAAAACAAACCAGAAGCTCACCAGCTCAGCTAGCATGGCTAGCCTGGGACCTCCAGGGATCTTCCAGTCTCTGTTTCCTCCAGCACTGGGTGGGTTTACAGGTGCACACCACCATAGTTCATTTTTATTTGTTATGGGAGATACACATGGGCCTCAGCACCCACATGGAGGTCAGAGGACAACTTGCAGGAGCCAATTCTCTCCTTCTGCCATGTGGGACTTGGGGACTGAACTCGGGGTGCAGGCTTGGCAACAGGGGGATTTGCCCGCTGAGTCATCTTGTCAGCTCAGGTCCTCAGACTTACATGGCAAGCGTTCTCCCATCTCCACACGCAGGCGCTGGGTAGTTTGGGGAAATACACATGTGCTCAGCTTCTCCATGAGTTAACTTTGCCTGTCTGTGCACCATGTGGGCTCCAGAGACTGAGCTCAAGTCATTGGGCTTAGCAGCCAATGCCCCTCCACAAAGCCACCTCACTGGTGCCCCATGTGCTCAGTTCCTGTTGAGAGAAAGCAGAGTGAAATAGAGCTGGCACTTGGCTAGAGAGGATAAATAAAACAGGGAGGGTCCTCTCTACTTTCTTAGAGCAAGGGGCATTGAGCAAGCCTTTCCATATGGCGTGCGGTAGTCATAACAACTTGATTCTGCAGTGGGGTTGTTTGTTCAATGGTTCTTAGAGCACCTCACAACTATTGCCTCATCTACCACAATCAAAGAGGAATGCAATAGAGATACATTTAATGGGGAGAAAACCAGAGGCATGGAGGTCTGAGATCTTTCAAAAACTAAGGCCCAGATGGAATGATGCAATACGGAGTCTAGAGCTAGCCTTGACTGAATCTCCTCCTCTACCAGATACATAGAGATCTTAAGTCTATTACCCAACTTTCTAAGCCACTGCTTCTTTAGCTATGGAAAGCTATGAGGAGAATAAATAGGGGAAAATGTATGCTGATCACCAAATTATGGTGCTGGTGCTCTCCAAAAAATGAGCTAAATAGACATATGCAAGAATGAGAGAGACCCAAAGATGAGAGAGACCAAGGATAAGAGAGACCCAAGAATGAGAGAGACCCAAGGATGGGAGAGACCTAAGGATGGGAGAGATCAAGGATGAGAGAGACCCAAGGATGAGAGAGATCAAGGATGAGAGAGACCAAGGATGAGAGAGACCCAAGGATGAGAGAGACCAAGGATGAGAGAGACCCAAGGATGGGAGAGACCCAAGCATGAGAGAGACCAAGGATGAGAGAGACACGAGGATGGGAGAGACCCAAGGATGGGAGAGACCCAAGGATGGGAAAGATCCAAGGATAAGAGAGACCCGAGGAGGAAGAGGATAGATTCAAGAATGTTGAAGGGATGTGAGAGGAAAAACTTGGTGAGGTGGATTTCAAGACAAGGTTTCTCTGTGTAGCCTTGGCTGTCCTGGAACTCACTCTGTAGACTAGGCTGTCCTTAAACTCAGAGATCTGCCTTCCTCTGCCTCCCGAGTGCTGAGATTAAAGGCGTGCCCCACCACTGCCTGGCAAAGATTTATTTTTTTCTTTTATGTGTTTGCTTGCATGTATGTCTGTGCATCACATGCATTCATGGAGGCCAGGAAAGAGTGCCAGAGCCCTTGGAATTGGAGTTACAGATGGTGTGTGAGCTGCCATGTGGGTACTAAGAATTGAACCCAGGTCCTCTAAAAGAGCAATGAGCCATCTCTCGAGCTCCAGAACTGTTATACAGAAAAACAGCTTTAATGGGCACAGTGGGCATCACTGTTCTTAAAATGCCCACAGGTCAGTCCCATAGCAGAGGGATTCACTGGTCTCCTCGCTGCTCCTAACCTTCTGTTGATGCCTCACTCTTCCTCTTTTCTGTCTCTTCTCTCCCCTCTCCCGCTCTCCCCTCTTTTTTCCTCTTCCTCTCTCATGCCAAGCATACCGGCTCTAAAGTGTTAGTAGCATTGTTCATATGATAAGCACATACCCACACATTTTCCTAAGCAGAATTTCCTTCCTAAGGAATAACATAAATTACCACTTCTTCATACATATACAGTGATTTGCAACGGGGTTTCTCATCCACTAGTTCCCTTGAATCTCAGAGCCACCATGTGGCAAGGATTATGATTAGAACCATTTTATGTTGAAGGATAACAAAGCCCAAGGAATTTTCCAGGATCAGTGCCTGTAAGTGGCTGAGGCTGGACTTGAAGCTGATAGCAGTACCAAGCACAGCACCACATGGTTGTCATCTCTTCCTTCTCCAGAGTGGGTGTGTTCTAGTCTTCCTCCTCCTCCTCCTCCTCCTCCTCCTCCTCCTCTTTCTCTTTCTCCTCCTTTTCTTCTTCCCCTTCTTTCTCCTCCTCCTCTTCTTCTTCCTCCTCCTCTTCTTCCTCCTCCTCCTCTTCTTCCTCTTCTTCCCCTTTTTCTTCTTCCTCCTCTTCTTCCCCTTCTTCCTTCTCCTCTTCTTCTCCCCCTTCTTCTTTTTCCTCCTCCTCTTCTTCTAGAAACTTCTCTGCATATCAGTCAGCCATTCATCCCTTAGCAGACTGAGCCAGATTCTAGGAATTGGGAAACCCTTAATAGGATCTATTATAGGCGTGACAGTCAGCTGTGAACAAGACTGGAGAAGCGGGAAGAGTTGTAAGCAAAGACTATGCTCCAGGTCATACACCAGGTAACACTAATTACACCATTTAATCCTCTCTAGACATCTGTGAGAGTGTATCACTATCTTAATTTCAAATAATATTGAAGTGGAAACTTAGGCTCAAAGAACTGAAGAAATTTATACAAGTTCATATAAACAGTAAGAGACAAAGTTGAGACTCGAACCTGTGTCTTCCTGACTCTAAATTCTACCCTCATTTTCCTATTCCACATTGCCCCTCTGGGTCTTGTGTCTGTCTAGAGGTGTGTGTGTGTGTGTGTGTGTGTGTGTGTGTGTGTGTGTGTGTGTGTG